CAACTTTTTGGGTTATGCTCAGCATAATAAGATTGAAAAAGTATGAAGAAAGTTTGTATCCAACCCTGATGCACACTCTTCTGATTTTAAACCATGCAGTATTGCTTATTTTGTTTGAACCAATGCCTCTTGGTCTGTGTACAAGTTCCTCATGTACAATTAAGTGTTCTGGAATTCCTATTCTCTTCAATGTTACATAATTTATTATGACCCACAGAGTCAAATGTCTTTGCATAGTCAATAAAATACAGGTAAATATCTTTCTGGTATTAATTCTTTGGTTCCAGCCAAGATCCATATGACATTAACAGTGATAGCCCTTGTTCCACATCCTCTTCTGAATCGAGCTTGAATTCCTGGCAACTCCCTGTCTGTGCACCGCTGCAAACATTTTTGAATTATTTTTAGCAAAATTATACTTGCATGTGATATTAATGATAATTTACTAATGATAATTTACACATTATGCTGATCACTATTCTTTGGAATGGGCACATATATGGCTCTCTTCCATTCAGGTGGCCAGGCACCTGTTTTTCAATTCTTTTGGTATAGGCAATGATCGTTTCCAGCATTGCATCTGTTTGTTGGAACATTTCAATTGTTATTCTGTCATCAGTTGCTGGAGCCTTATTTTTTGCCAGTGCCTTCATTTCACTTTGGACTTCTTCCTTCTGTACTATTGGTTCTTGATGGTATCTCCTGGAATGGTTGAATGTTGATGAATTCTTTTGGTACAGTGACTCTGTGTATTCCTCCCATCTTCTTTTATTGCTTACTGTGTTGTTCAATATTTTGCCCATAGAATCTTTCAATATTATATCTAGAAGTTTTAATTTTTTCCTCAGTTCTTTCAGCTTGAGAAATGCCAAGTGTGTTCTTCCCTTTGGTTTTCTAACTCCAGGCCTTTGCTCATTTCATTATAATACTTTCCTTTGTATTCTTGAGCCACCCTTTGAAGTCTTCTGTTCAGCTCTTTTACTTAATAATTTCTTCCATTTGCTTTAGCTACTCTATGTTAAAAAGTGTCAGAGTCTCTTCTGACATTCATTTTGGACTTATTTCTCTTCCCTGTCTTTTTAATGATCTTTTGCTTTCTTCAGGTATGATGTTTTTGATGTCATTCCACAACTTGTCTGGTCTTCAGTCATTCATGATCAGCGCACCAAATCTGTTCTTGAGATGGTCTCTGAATTCAAGTGGGGTATAATCAAGGTCATATTTTGTCTCTCATGGACTTGTTTAAATTTTCTTCAGCTTCATCTTGAACTTGCATATGAGAAATTGACAGTCTCCCCCACAGTTAGCCCTGGCCTTCTCCATGATATTCAGCTTCTCCATCACCTGTTTTTGCAGATGTAGTCTATTTGATTCCTCCATATTCCATCTGGTGATGTCCATGTGTATAATCACCATTTTTGTTGTTGAATACAGGTATTTGCAATGAATAAGTCATTGGTTTTGCAAAATTCTATCATGTGATTTCCAGCATTGTCTCTATCATCGAGGCCATATTTTCCAACTACCAATCCTTCTTCATTTCCACCTTTTGCATTCCAATCACCAGTAATTATCAATGCATCTAGATTACATATTTGATCAATTTCAAACTGCAGAAGTTGGTAAAAATCTTCAATTTCTTCATCTTTTGCTTTAGTGGTTGGTGCATAAATTTGAATAATAGTCATTTTAACTCATCTTCCTTCTATGCATGTGGTTATTACCCTATCGTTGACAGTACTGTATTTCATGGTAGGATCTTGAAATGTTTATGTTTTTTGTTTTTGATGATGAATGTGATGCCATTCCTCTTCAATTTTTGTTATAATAGACTATAGGACTGTCTGATTCAAAATGGCCAAAACCATTTCAGCTCACTAATGCCCAGGATGGGAGCTCTGGCAGCATAGTGCCTAAGGCACCTGACTGCTAATCAGAAGGCTGGCGGTTCAAACCCACCAGCCACTCCTCAGAAGGAAGACGGGGCAATCTACTTCCATAGTGATACTGCCTCGGAAACCCAAGGAGGGGTCACTATGAGTCGGTTACGACTTGACGGTACACAACAACAAAAACAACAACAATGCCCAGGATATTGATCTTTACGTGTTCAGTTTCATTTTTGACACCTTCCAATTTTCCTAGATTCATATTTCATACATTCCATGTTCTGATCATTAATAGAAGATTCCAGATGTTTCTTCTCAAGTTATGCCACATCAGCTAATGAAATTCCCAAAAGCTTTACTCCATCCACGTCATTAGGGTCAACTCTAGTTTGAGGCAGCAGCCCTTCCCCAATTGTATTTTGAGTTTCTTTCAACCTGAGGGGCTCATCTTCTGGCACTGTATCAGATAATGCTCTACTGCTATTCATGAGATATTCAGTAGCCAGTTTTTTCAGAATTAGACCTCCATGTCCTTCTTCCTAGTCTGTTTTAGTCTAGAAGCTCCACTGAAACCTGTTTACCATGGATGATCCTGCTGGTATTTGAAATACCAATGACATAGATTCTAGCATCACAACAAGACCTAAGCCACCATGGTCTAATAAAATGACAGATGAGTGATGGGCTGAGATACTACTGTTCTTTAGTTGCTGATCAAAGAATTTGGTTTTAAAAAGGTAAATTAGGTAAATTTATGTGAGACAAACCTTCTCAACAAAGTATGTGCTTGTGATTGGCTGGGTAAGAAGGTAGGAGATGTGAACAGTGAAAAATATCTTAAACTTTAATATACCTTGCATCCATCAAGCTAGGAGTTGAAAGTCCTGAAAATTCCAAAGAAGTTACAAGCCAGTGCCACAGACTTTCATTTCTCAGCCTCACTTGTGTGAAAACTCTTCTCCATCAGCTGACCATATAATGACAGTAATTACATAACAGCTGGCACTTGGAATGATGCTGTTCTAGTGCCATGAACTGCCTCTGCTCTTCTCCCAATTCTGGTTTTTCCCTCAAAGTTATCACTGTGCTTCATGCTTAATATATGACTCAGGTCACAACAAAAACTTCAAAGAATATGGAACTCATTTATGCATGGACCCCAGGCCCCTCCCTATAGCTTGTTGCACAGGAGCCCTGGTGTGTAGCAGGCCTGGGCTCTGCTATCAGTTATCACACAGAATATAGAACTTTTGGCATAGGCTTAGGGCTCAGCCCCAGGGCTGAATCACCTAATATCATAGGATGTTTGGCCTCTGTAATGAAGGGGAAATAGACTTTCCCTTTCTTGCCCCCATGACATCTGAAATATCCTACAAGATACTTTGAGTGTAAGGACTGAAACAGGCTTATCATGAAGTCTTTTTATCCAGCAATGCCAGGGAGTTGGTAGAAAAGAAAGCCCCCTTCAAGATCGACAAATAAATCACTCCTGGGTGTTCTTTCTTGGTGTTTCTCTGCACAAAAGCAGCAGAAAAATTTCTGAGACCAACTGTGACCATAACTTATTTAGTTGCCTCCTCATCTCTCTTCTTCGACAGAATATAGAGATAGTTGGTAAAAGTTTTTAATTCCCTGGAGTAGAACATAAAATTTATCATCAATACTACAATAGGTTTGCCACTGCCCCAAATTCTGAAAATCACAGAGAAGCACCTGGATGGTGCAAATGGTTACAATGTTTAGTTACTAGTTGAAAATGATGGAGGTTCAAGTCTACTCAGTGGTGCCTCAGAAGAAAGACCTGGTGATCTACTGAAAAATTAGCCATTGAAAATACTATAGAGCACAGATCTACTCTGACACATGTAGTGTTGCCGTGAGTCAGAATTAACTTCATGACAACTGGTTGTACTGATCCTTGTTGTTGTTATGTGCTGTTGAGTCAGACCCGACTCATAGCAACCCTTCATTGGGTTTCTGAGGCAGTATCACTATGGAAGTAGATTGCCTCATCTTCCTTCCAAGGAGTGGCTGGTGGGTTTGAATCGCCAGCCTTCTGGTTAGCAGTCAAGTGCCTTAGGCACTAAGCTACCAGAGTTCCTGTACTGGTCCTTAGGCTACTTCAATGAAGTCAGCACTGTGTTAAAAGGGAAGCATGTGGACTCTCTGCCTCTTCCAGCATATTCTTAGCTTTTAATTATACCATTCTTGTCCACCTTCAGTGCCACACCTATCCCTGGGGTCAACCAAAAAAAAAAGGGAGCTTTGGTGGCATAGTGCCTAAGGCATTTGACTGCTAACCAGAAGGCTGGTGGTTCAAACCCACCAGCTACTCCTTGGAAGGACAGTTGGGAAATCCACTTCCATAGAGACACTGCCTCGAAAACCCAAGGAGGGGTCACTATGAGTTGGATCCCACTCAACATCGAGAATCCCTGGTGTATTCTCTCATAGTCCCTATTTCTAAAGACCAGATACTTGAAACAACATAATGAGATCGCAGCATGCACTCCATTTCTCTTTCCATTCTTAACATGTTTCACTTGCTCAGAACCCATCTCAAAAATGGAGATTTAGATAGTTGGCCCAAATGCCAATGTCTTCTCATTTATTTAGTTTGGGTAAAAATTTTAAATAAAAAGATCACTGATTTTTCAGAGTTCTAAGATCTTCTTTAATGCCATACAGAACTTTAATGGGTTAAAAGTTACTGAAGTGACTCTGGTTCCCTAAGATATACCCGAGATTTGGAATATGGAGACATGGTTTGGGCACAATTTGAAATATTAGTCAAATCTTAAAAATGGCCTAAGAAATGGCTTGACTGTAGCAAAGCACAGCTCAGTCATGATGTCTAACCTGGATGAAAAGACACCTGGATATTAGGATCCCACATGGAACATGTGCCCCTACCATTCTAACCCAAGTGAAAAGGTCTTTACTCTGAAAGCTAATTTAATCTCCTTGTTGAGGTGGACAGATGGTTCTCAAAAAGTTCTACTTGTCCCAAATGAATTTTCCTTTGCTCTCCTAAACTCTGACTTGGGTCTTCAATACTTTGGCTCTGTAACATAACAAGGGGAAATTAGAAGCAAGGAGAGAAGTACTTACCAGGAAACTTGTTCATCATAAATGAACTGTGGGAAAAAAAAGATAGATTAGACATACACATAGACAAACACATGCACACTTATGTTCATATCCTCACAAACATACAACATGCTTTAAGATGGCAAGTTGTTCACCTGTGTTGCTAGTATGGTGGTAGCAGGGCTTCATTAGTCTGGAATAAAATGCATTTGTGGGTAAACTCCCCCCTTTACATGTTTAGTCTTTGACTAGAGTCAGTGGGAGAGTCTTAGGAATATCGGGAAGGGAAAAAGCAAACGTAATTCCATCCTTCGTCAGTTTCCATCCAACAGCAGAGTGACAAGGAAGTGCTATTAGCTTGCCTTGTGAAGCAAGATGTATTACAGAATTTTACATACAGGAAAGGATCTGGAAGCACTATGGCCTTTCCAAACACTGCCACATATGTGACACCTGTGAGATTTCTGCATAGCTCTGTGCACTACATAGCGCCTTCATAGTTCTTACTCAAGGAGTAATGTGCTCAAAGTTCAATGTGCTCAAAAGTTTCCTTTTTTGAGCACAAAGTTCAATGTGCTCAAAAGTTTCCTTTCAACTAACCATTTTTTATTTCCTTAACAGAATTTATTTTCAACCAGAAACGTTACATCACACACAGAAGTAGAAAATCAGCACAAATTGCCATGCACAGGAGGTAACTGCGAAAACCAAATGCAACAGAAGCAAAATTGTTTGAAAATCCTAGCTGCACACTTTGGCCTCTGTAGCTCTGCACCACAGTTCTGGCCTCTTTTTTAAGAAGGAGATTAGCACTAGTCACAGCTGGCAAAAGACACACAAGCACCAAACTGAGGTTTCCTTCTCATCAATTAGGATTGAAAGCAAATACACAACAGGATTTCTCATTAATACCAGAAGGATGTTTACCTGTCTTTTATTGACTATGCAAAGGCGTTTGTGTGATCGTAACAAATTATGGATAACATTGTGAAGAATGGGAATTCAAGAACACTTCATTGTGGTCATGAGGAACTTGTACATAGATCAAGAGATAGTCATTCAAACACAACAAGGGAGTATTTCATTATTTAAAACAGGAAAAGTGTTTGTCAGGGTTGTATCCTTTCGCCATACTTATTCAATCTATGCTGAGCAAATAATCTGGGAAGCTGGACTATATGAAGAAGAAAATGACATCAGGATTGGAGGAAGACTCATTAACAACCTGTGATATGCAGAGGATGTAACCTTGCTTGTTGAAAGTAAAGACGACTTACTAATAAAGATCAAACACTACAGCCTTCAGTATGGATTATACCTCAACATAAAGAAAACAAATCTCAACTGGACTAGTAAGCAACATCACAATGAACAGAGACAAGACTGAAGTTGTCAAGGATTTCATTTTACTGGGATCCACAATCAATGCCCATGGAAGCAGCAGTCAAAAAATCAGACAAAAAGACCTCTCTAAAGTGTTAGAAAGCAAAGATGTCACTTTAGGGACTAAGGTGCACCTGAACCAAGCCATAGTATTTTCAGTCACCATATATGAATGCAAAAGCTGGGTAACGAATGAGGAAGACCAAAGAATTGATGCATTTGAATGGTGGTGTTGTGAAGAATGCTAAATATACTATGGAACTCTGGTAGTGTAGTGCCTAAGGCAGTTGACTGCTAACCAGAAGGCTGGTGGTTCAAATCCACCAGCCACTCCTCAGAAGGGAGATGGGGCAATCTGAGTAGTAGAGATACTACTTCAGAAACCCAAGGAGGGGTCGCTATGAGTTGGGTCCAACTTGATGGCACATAACAACAACTAGAAGAACAAACAAATCTGTCTTGGAGGAAGTACAGCTGGAATGCTCCTTAGAAGTGAGAATGGCCAGACTTTGTCTCTCATACTTTTATCATGTTGTCAAAAGGGACTAGTCCCTGGAGGAATTTATCAGGCTAGGTAAAACAGAAACTCAAACTCACTGCCATCGAGTTGTTTTTCCTACTCATAGCGACCCCTCCTTGAGTTTCCAAGGTGGTATCTCTATGGAAATAGATTGCCCAATCTTCCTTCCGAGGAGTGGCTGGTGGGTTTGAACTGCTAGCCCTCTGGATAGCAGTCAAGTGCCTTAGGCACCATGCCACCAGAGCTCCCAGGTAAAATAGAAGGTCAGCAAAAAAGGGGAAGACCCTCAACGAGATGGACTCACACAGCAGCTGCAATAATGGGCTCAAGCATGGCAATGATTCTGAGGATGGTACAGGACCAGGCAGTGCTTTTTTCTGTTGCACATAGGGTGGTTATGAGTCAAAACTGATTTGAAGGCACCTAACAATAATCATCCATACACCATCTAAAATAATTTTTCTGGGGAAAACTGATGTAACCAAACCCTTTGATGCATATAGGGAAAGGAAGTCGCAGAGAAGATGAATAATTTTTCTGAGGTTGTTCTGTATGTTGCAGATTGATCTAGACTCAGGCCCCAGTTCCCAACTTAATGGTGTCTTTCATGACACCATTTACCTGTCCAGATGGTGCACTGCTCAAACTCAATAGGAACACCTATACTTCATTCCCCAGCCACTCCTCGGAAGGAAGGCTGGGCAATCCTACTTCCGTAGTGATACTGCCTCGGAAACCCAAGGAGGGGTCGCTATGAGTCGGGGCCGACTCTACAGCACATAACAACAACAACAACAACAACAACATACTTCATTCCAGTAGGAAGAGGAGGGCATGATTCACAGTTCTCTTTCCACACTCATGAATTATAGCTGCTTTGTGTATGAGCATCTCTGTAAGCCAATTCCCTCTGAAAGCGGTGACTCTCTGGAGACTTTTAGGCAGATGCTCATAGGACAACCTGGGTGTAAAGGGTTATTACAGCACGTGGAGAGGCAGAGTCTGCTAATGCTGTGGCCATCACCTCAGTCCCCAGTGAGTGGCATGGTATCATCTGTGTAGAGATGAAGAAAGAGCCTCAAAGAACAGCAAGGAAGCCTGGCTCACAAGGCAATTATGGGCAATGTTCCCCAGCTATCTTGAAGATCCAAGGGAGAGGATGAGGAAAAAGAAACCATGCTTCTTTATCACTTGTTGTCTAGTAAGTCTTTGAAAGAAACCTTGGTTTCATCATATGTTACTTTTGTCTTTCTTATTAGATTCAACACTTGCATGAAAATGTCAAACAAGAAGGGAAACCAAATTCACTGCCATTGAGTCAATTCTGACTCAGTGACCCCCATTAAGTCTACAAGTCTGTAAACCTTTACAGAAGCAGACTGCTTTATCTTTTTTTCCACGGAGCAGCTGGTGGGTTTGAACCACTGACCTTTTGGTTAGTAGCCAAATGCCTTAACCGCTATACTTCCAGAGCTCTTTAGAAGAAGGGAAAAAGAATTACAAAACAAAAAAAAGAAAAAGGCCTAGATTGGATGGTATGAATCCACTCCCTGAACTCCTAGCTCTTTGTGCATAATCACTAACCAAAAAACCAAAGCAAGCTCACTGCCGTCAAGTCAATTCAACCCATAGCAACCCCTCCTTGGGTTTCCGAGGTGGTATCACTATGGACGGAAGGAAGGTTGGGCAATCTACTTCTGTAATGATACCACCTCGGAAACCCAAGGAAGGGTCGCTATGAGTCGGGTCTGACTTGACGGCACACATCAACAACAACAATCACTGTGGAAGCAGTTTACCAATCTTCCTTTTGAGGAGCGGCTGGTGGGTTTGAACCGCAGCTTTCTGGCTAGTAGTCAAATGCCTTAGGCATTACACCACCAGAAACTGTCCAGATCATGGAACAGACCACATTATTTAAGATGGAAAACATTTTCTATTAATCGAAATTAATTCAATAATAGTCTTTGGCATTGAGCTGGAACAATCAATTCACAGCCACTTGAGCGAGCACAAGAGCAAAAGAGTTTATTAGAGCAAGTCAATTTGATTTTCTCTGATCAGAGGAGGCAGGCCAGAATACTGAATACAGAATATTGTATTAAAGCATCTTTACTTGTCATTGGGTGCTGCTGAGTTGATTCTGCCCCAGAGTTTTCTTAGCTGTAATCTCTACAGAAGCCAACTGCCAGGTCTTTCTCCTACAGAGCCACTGAGTGGGTTTGAACTTCCAGCCTTTCAGTTAGCAGTCAAGTGTTTACCTGTTGAGCAACCAGAGCTCCTTAAAGCAGCTTTTTGGAAGCCTTTATTCTGTATAAGAAGCTCTGTGCTGCTGTGGTTAAAGCATTGGGCAGCTAGCTAAAAGGTCAATGGTTCAAACCCACCAGTGCTCCACAGGAGAAACAGGTGGCAGTCTCCTTCTGAGGATTTACAGCCTTGGAAACCCTATTGGGAAGTTCTACTGTCTTATAGGATTGATATAAGTCAGTATTGACATGATGGCAGTGAGTCTTTGATGGCACTGCAGACAAGTAGGGAAGGCACAGCCCCTACAAGGAAGGCACTTGAAGCTCAGTTCACCCTGGGAGAAAGCACCCAGTTTGTGCACTTGAGGAACCAGTTCTGGGACCAATACAATTTTAACTATTGATTATTTCAATGATCACATCAATGGAAAAAAATTGACAATGGGCTTAAGTGTACAAAAGACTGAAATGTAAGGACAGAATTTAGAAAAGAGAGCACAAGACAGCAGAAAAAGAGTGGGAAAATTATGATGAGGGCATATAAACTAAGAGTGGGCAAACTGAGTGGGCAAAAAATGAGACTGGACAAGATAAGCAATTAAGGACAAAGCACCATGAACCCAAACTCAAGAGGTGAAATGGCTAGGAGGATTTTGTTCAGGTAGGTGGACTGGCAAGTAGGAATATAGGTGATCACTCCACAAGGGCTAAAAAACTAGAGATCTAGAAACATCCAAATAATATTTGGAGTCTTCTTTTTTCTCCCTCTGACTGGCATGAAGATGCCCCTATTATTGACCACTCAGGACAAAGGACTTCATAGAAGGAGGCCTCCACACAGCCAGGAGGCCTCAGCTACCTGGTGGTGAATGAGGAAACAGGTTTTTTATTTGCTTGT